TATGTTTGAAGATACATACAAGAATTGTCTGTAGAAATTGAATAATTGCTGAAAAAATAAAAACACCAAGAGAGTTTTTTTCTTTTCTTTTTTTAAGTTCTTGGGTATATATGTAGGATGTGCAGGTTTGTTACATAGGTAAATGTGTGCCATGGTGGTTTCCTGCCCCTATCAACTCATTACTTAGGTGTTAAGCATGCCATGCATTAACTATTTTTCCTGATGCTCTTCCTCCTCCTGCCTGCCACCACCACAGGCTCCACTGTATGTTGTTCCCCTCCCTGTGTCCATGTGTTCCCGTTATTCGGATCCCACTTATAAATATACCCAGGAAATTCTTAAAATGCTCTTTAGTTTTACCCATCAGATGGCATACATTTGCTTAGCCCAGAATTCTCACACTCCTTTCTTTCTTCCAAGTGTGTGTTGGTCCTTATTTAAATACCAAGTGAGAGGTTGGTCAATTACATTTAAATCCGCTTAACCATAATGTACAAGTAATATAATCAGAGACTTCTGATGAAGCATAAGAAATGACTTAGTGAGATTTGTATCTGTAGAGTAGCCTCAAGAACTATTTTATCTTTTTGAAGATAGCTTGCTTATTTTTCATGATGTTGACCTGAAATATTTGAATATGCCCCCAAACATTCCTACTATTTTACTCTTTAAAATAACAACCCTTCTTCTTAGACTGACTGTCCCTGGTCTGGTGATGATGATGTTGAAGATATGATGACTTTACTTTTTCTTTGATTCTAATATCACTTATTTCAATCTTTAAGATTTTCATGTCTTATTTAGTTCTAATAATAACATAGAGCTATTCTTTTTAAAAATTTCATCCTATATTATGACATGCAAACTTTTATGAAATGTCTGTGAGGTAAACATATGCAGTGAGATCCTTCCCATTTCACTAATGTGGAAATCAAGCCCAGGAGAAGTTGCTTCCAATCATAAAGAGCATGGTTCCTGACCCACTGACAACCACAGAATTGGAAAAGGCACAAGCCTCTTATCCAGTGAAGTAAGTCCCTCTCCCACCTAGTGGAGAAGCACTCACTCATTGGGGTGGCTCTATCTTCAATTACCAGTAGCTGGCTTCCTCTGAGGGCAGCCCAGACTGTTAGGCACCTCCAAGAATGAGCCAAAAATGTGCTTCTCTTACACTTCCCCACTGGAGTTCAGCCCTCTGACCAGACATGTACTTGTATATCCATATAGTACAATAAAAAGTAAATATTTTGTCTTTGCCCCCTGGTTCCTGACATAAAGCTCCTAGAAGTTTTGGAATTTCTTGAGTGACACGTCTTTTGTATGTTAATGTGGTGACTAAAAGTAGGTAGGGGTATAGCTTCAGGATGAAGACTGGTCTGTAGAAGTACTAAACATATGATTAAAGGGTTAGAACTATCGGCTTATACCCAATGTATGGGTGCGAGAGGGGCTGAAGATTGAGCTCAATCACAAATGCCAGTGATTTAATCAATAGTGCCTTTGTAATGAGGCTTCAATAAAGACTCTGAAAGAGGATAGGGGAGCTTCTAGGTTGGTAACACATGGATGTTCTTGGAGAGTGGATGTGCTGGAAGGGCAATGAAACTGTCCACCACCCCCGTCCCTCCATTCCTTGTCCTGTACATCTCTTCCGTTTGGTTGTTCATGAATTGTATCGTTTATAATAAAGCTATGATCGTAAGTATAGTGCTTTCCTGGTTTCTGTGAGTCATTCTAGTGAATTGTGGAACTTCAAGGAAGGGAGTTTTGGGAATCCCCAAATTTATAGTGAGTCAGTCTAGAGTGGTCTTCTCAACTGGCAACTGGCATCTGAGATGAGGGTAGTTTTGTGGGAGTGAGCTCTTCTACCTGTACAGCCTGACACTAAATCTGGGTATTTAGTATCGGAATTGAAGGATTTTGCCCTTAATTTATGGAGTCTGCACTAACTCCAATTGTAGGACACCCAGTTGGTATTGGAGAATTAGACAATTGATTGGTGTTGGAAAAATGTATTTGGTGTCAGAAAAAAAAATCAAACAATCTATGTTCTCTCACAACATTTGCCCTGTGCATTTTCTCATATGGGAGTCCCTCAGACCTATTGGTCTGTTCTCTAGATCTTTTGCTAATTTGACATGTGTGCATAATAAAATTGGTTAAGCAGACTAAGTATTTTAAGTACATGGTTTTATTCAAGATGAGATACTACTTTAATATATAGACTACTTAAAAATAAATACATATATAAAAAGTTATATATATAACTGCACACTCACCCATCCATCCAGAATGCTTAGGCATACATTCCCTGGGTTTAGGAAGGGAATATGGATTGCTTGTGATTGCAATGGGCAAGAATGTACAAGAAACCCCTTATTATGTGAAAATTATATCTGTTTATTTAAATGTTACTGACGGGGGTTATGAAAATAAAATGGTGATTTCTATAGTAATTTATATATAACACAGTAGTTAAAAATAAGGTCTAGAATGAAACTGCTTGAATTCAAATTCTAGCTTCACCAATTTGTAGTTGTTTGACCTTTTTACTTAGTTACTGATCTCCAGTTTCCTCATCTGTAAAACAGAAATAATAATACTGCCTACTTCATGATGTTCTTGTGGGTTTTAATGAGTTAATTAATAGAAAACACTTAAGACAGTACCTGACATACGTAAACACTTACTACATTTTAGATGTTGTTATTACCATTACTGTTGTTTTTACTGTTACTGCTACTATTGTAACAATTACTACTACCATTATACTACTAATACACTACTTTTTTGGACCTAATTTATAGCACAAAGTGGATGTATGGCTTATAAACATTTCTGAGCATGAATTTACTTAATAAAAGAGACAGGGTCTTGCTCTATCATTCAGGCTGTAGTGCACTGGTGCCATCACTGGTCACTGTAGCTTCAAACTTCTGGGCTCAAGAAATTTTCCCACCTCAGCCTCCGCACTAGGTGGGACTACAGGCACATGCCACCATGCCTGGCTAATTTTTTTTTTTTTTTTTTAATTTTTGGAGAGACAGAGTCTTACTTTGTTGTCCAGGCTGGTCTTGAACTCCTGGCTTCAAGTTGATCCTCCTGATTCAGCTCCTAAAGTGCTGGGGTTACAGATATGCATCACCATGTCCAGCTTGCTTTTGAACCTTTATTTAATGAGAAGTTGCAGAGTTTTTGGAAGTATAAAAAGTGACTGAACCACCTGTAAGAGTTCTCGAAAAATGATAGAGGAAATGCTAATGAGACTTTAAGGCAGAGATCAAATAGACTAGGAGAGCGAAAGAAATCTCTTCTGTAATGCCGATAGAGAACTTTGAAAGAAGCAAAGAAAAAAAATTGCAAATGGGAAGAGTAAATGAAACACCATTGGCTTAATCAAATAGAATCTTGGTTGTGGATAATTGACAAGCAGACATAAAAATGAAAGAGCATAACATAGGAAATATGTGTTACCACTATAAGCAGTGTACAGCAAGGTATTGGGGAAATGAGTTAAATAGTTAAAAAGGTAAGAATCTGTGATTCTTAATATTGAGACCATGACTCAGATAATGGAGTGTATTATAGCATTTGTTGTGTAAATTCAAAGAATCACAGAAAGGGAATACATGAGAAGTAAAACAAACAAACAAAAAAACCTATTGAGAAAATATGCATGAGTATAAATCTACACTAGCTTCATCATGGTGGGAGCAAAAAGTTAAAGTACCATCACTCTTCAAGCACAAACTAAGTATTATATGTGGTTTTCAGAATAGTTTAATCATTGAACTCCTGAAACGTTGCATCTAAGAATTAGATTGCTAATTTTTAAAAATAAGAAAATACATTTAGGTTGTATTAAAAGATGTTAATGTCAGAATACCAAATGTTATTTTCTGTACAACTAGGTTTAAAAAAAAACAATAAAACACCATTTCATATTCTTATACATTATTTTTAATATCTCCTTACTATTTTATTCTTTTGAACCAAGCTTAAAATTTTAAAAAAAGAAACTCAGCTTCATTTTGTTGGGCGTTTAGAGGATATTCCTGTCCTTACAGATAAAACTTGAATTGTACCCATTCTTTAGGATTAATTCAAATCCTAAGAATGGCAGATTACTTGAATTTCTATATTCATTCTTTAAACATCATTTTATATAGTTCACACTGATCAATAACAATAGATTTTTTTTAACCTAGAATTCGTTTGTACCTAAAACAAATAGTTTAAAAGTTGGTTTAGGTCACTCTATCTTTTTTTTGCACTACTAAATCTTTTTCCTAGTGTCATATAAAATTGACTATGAAAAGATTTTCAGAAATGATCCTTAATGTCTGTTCTGCTGGGTGACCAGTATATTCTCTTAGTGACACAGTGTCCTGGTTTACTATTTCTTCTTCATGTGTACTGTGAGAGCCGCTTTAAGTCAAAGAAGGAAAAATATTATTAGATAATAAAGTGTTCAGGATATCAGTAAAGAAAGCTTGACGTTTGTCATTATAAATGGCCTCTGCTACTTTTTCTTTCCCATTGTCGATAAGCTTGGACAATAGAAAGCATTTTTCCCCATCTTTCCCGTCTACTCACTGTTCCCTGTCAAGAGATGATTTTGAAAAATGTTAAAATTATATTTAAATCAATTGAACTTTAAAAAATGTTTTATTTTTGTCTGTGAATAGACTGATGATTTTGTAGTATTTCCAATGGTCAAGAATTCTAATAAAACTTATTTCTTAAGCGTGGCGTGATTATTTGTGTATGTGAGCACTTCTTAAATTTTGTCTTATGTTTTAAAGACTCTTATTGAATTTCTTTTATAACTAGATTTTAAATTGAAAGGTTAAAATTAGTGAAATTTATTTTTCCTATTTTATAATGAATTTTCTTACATTATTATGAATTTTTTTCATGGATGTTTTGTTTCTAGGGTGTCTTACCTTTTATATATTATAATTTTGTCCCTTCAAGGCATTTAATATACTCTCTTTTAGTCTCTGTAGAAATGCTGGAAAAGAATTTGAGGCAGATGGGAAGGCAGCTTCAACAGCTTGAGAAGGAATTGGAAACCTTTCCCCCTCCTGAGGACTTGCATGACAAGTTTGTGACAAAGATGTCCATATCCTTTTGATATCTAAATAACTTAAGTCACTAGTCAACTGGAGATACAGTTTATTTAATATTTTAGGTGTCTTTGTGTATCCAGAGATCATTCTGTAGTGCCAAATTACAGAAAATTTAACCTTTGCCTTCTTGCAGGGAAATTTATCAAAGCGTCTGTCTATCATGAATAATACACAAATGTCTGTCTGTCTGTCTGTTTGTTTGTTTGTTTGTTTGTTTTTTGAGACGGAGTCTCACTCTGTCACCTAGGCTGGAGTGCAGTGGCATGATCTTGGCTCACTGCAACCTCTGCTTCCCAGGTTCAAGCAATTCTCCTGCCTCAATCTCCTGAGTAGCTGGGCCTCAGGCTCTCACCACCACGTCCAGCAAATGTTTTTGTATTTTTAGTAGCAACAGGGTTTCATCATATTGGCCAGACTGGTATCGAACTCCTGACCTCAAGTGATCTGCCCACCTCAGCCTCCCAAAGTGCTGGGATTAGAGGCATGAGCCACCATGCCCGCCCACAGATGTATACCCATTAATTTCTATTCTTTTTTCCTTTTTATCAGCTTGGATAATAGTATGTTCTCTCATCTTTTCCCTGTCATGTGCCTTATTTCCTTCTGATGTTCATTAAGAATTGAAAAGACATTAAAACTTAGTTTGAGAAAGTTTGACTCTAAAGTCATGATGTGATTTAGATACCTTTGAAATGTTTGAAGAAGCAGGTACAAGACTTCATAAACGAGTTTAACTAGTCAGCTTAACTTCAAGAATTGGCATGTATTGTAAATTAGTTTTTGCTCCATAAAATTTAATATTTCCTTTAGAAATACTATATTCTTACAAAGTCAAAGTGGAGTTTATTATAGTCACTACTTGTATTGATATTTTCCTAAACTAAATAAATTGATAAATATATGTGTGTATGTTCATACACACACACACACACACACACACACACAATAAATAGCATGAGGCTTGTGTCCTGTTTAAGGTTTCCTTTGTGTTCAATTATATTTATTATCACTAACTTTGTAGCTTAATCTCTAATGAGTAACTGAAGTAATAAACTTTTTTATTTCTTGAAACTAATGTTGAGTTGCTTTGCAAACCATTTTGTGAAATTGCAGACTGATATCTTTTGTGTTGTAATAAAATATTACTACAATGCATTATTAAAATCCCATATGGACAAATGAATTCTGTGTGAAAGATAACTCACTTCTAAAATGAGATCTTATAAATAGACACTCCTTATATCTTAAACTGAGGTACTTGAAATAAAATGACTATTTTCCCTCTTTCTACCTCTTCTCTCCTGAGATTTAGTGAATCACAAAATTAATATTTGGCTTGTCATAGATTTTATTGTATATGCTTTCAGCTTAATTGTGAACTAGTTGAATTTTAGCTTCCTTCACTGTCTCTGTCGGGAAATATCATAAAAATATGCTCCAGTAACAATCAATTCAGGCTAATGTGTTTGTTTCCTTTTGTATCTTCCCACCCATCCAGTTTCTTATTTCATTAGGAAGGCTGCTTTTATCACCATACTGAGGAAGGCTTTTTTTTTTTTTTTTAAAGTAAAGGTGAAATCTGTATTCATCAAAAAATTTTTGTGCTACCTTCTCATATGACAAAGTATGCTTTTTAAAATAAATGTATTATTGCCATTATATGTTTCATCATTCTTAGCTTTTTTCTTAATTTTATCATGTTAAAATGTTCATATGTGACAGTTTATTAATAGCTAAGTACTGTTAATTGAACTACTTATTATTGTTCCCTGTAGATATAAAGCAGTTCAGAAAAGATTTTGCTTGCATGTAGCTTCTGGTAGTACACTGTGAGTGCACTAATTATGAAGCTCAGGTTTATAGAACCAAGATGCATTCCTGAGCTTGGAGTAAAGGTTGTAGAATCTTGCTTAGCAGACGATCTCAGGACATATCTATACTTGTATTTATATGACACAAGAAACTGAATGATGTCGGCTTCTTGAAAGGTATGTGGCTCATAAAAAGCAACCAGCAGGAAATCAGAAACAGGAAGGATGATGCTTTGTTGGAAACAATTTTTCATTCTGAGTACAATTATACTCCATGGACAAGAAAGCTACTACATCCTGTCGCTAAATATCACAACCTAGAAGCCTCTAATGAACTGATTAGCATTCATGTATCTCTTGGAAGTCAGATATATGAACAGTTGGTGCACTTTGCTATTGACAAAGCTTATAATCATAAATATTCTTTGCTGAGATTAGATTGCACTCGTTTGCTTTTCATCTTAGTTAGACATACTAGTTTTGAAGTAATTAAATTCATTCATTGCAAGTCTTTGTTTACTTTAATTAGGACTGACAAGTCAGATTTTGCATATTAAATGCATTTATACAGATCTTATTAAAATGGCAAATTGTGAGCTCCTTAGATGTTAAAAAATTGAAGAATTTGGAATCTAAAGTGCACAATGAATAAAATATACTTAAAGTTTGTTATTAACCACTTAAACTTTGTTCATGTTTTTCATTTAAATGCTTGTTAATCGAGGTACATATCAAACGTTTGGTTCATTCACCAATTCTGGAAGAATATGTGTATTTTTTAAATTGTTAACAATGTATCTTACAAGTATGTACTTAAACAATTATGATTTAGTGAACTGTTAAATCAATTAATTTAATTGTTTCAAATTATTGAGATACAATTTTATTGTAATGTGAAATTTTACTAATAGCATTTGATGATAGTATATTGTATTTTTATTCTTTCAATGTATGCTCACTCTTTACTTATACGGCTTAATATTAAAAGAGTTGAATTTAGTGCATCCTTTAAAAAGCATGCACTATCATTTCAAATATCATTGACTTTTTGGTAATAATTATTACCTCCCACTTGCTAAGTCTAGTCAGAGCCTTAATTAGAGTTGACCATTTCCACAGTAACTACTTGCTTGAAAAATGTGAAACCAAATTCAACGTATATCAGTATTGTTACATGCAAACTATTGTATGTGAGGTGTATGTACTTACTAAATTTTTATCGGTGAGAAAATTAACAATATGCCAGGATTTGTGTCTTGTAGTGCTTGTTCCTTTCTCATGATCTTTAAATTCTGTGATATGTCCTATTTTAAGGAGAATAACAAATAGAATTTAGAGCATTGCACTTGAAATTCTTCTTGCATGAGCACTTGCCTTTCTATTTTCTTCCTACTCCCTCTCCTGTCTCTTTCAGAAAAACTTATTTTGCTAGACATTTATATATTTCTGTATTTATTACAACTTATGTGACAAGTTACTTGACTCCTTTCCATGTTATATTCTTTAAATTTGTTCATTGAAATCCCACTTTATTTTCACACTTTCGTGTGTGTTATTCTGTATAGCAATGCTTTAGAAACTTCTGAAATCACTGGGTGGATGCTAAAGCCAGCCCAGTAAATTCATTGAGAGAAAGATTTACTTATATCTATATTCTATACTGCATAATGTACAGCATTTTTCAAATAAAGGAATTTAGTATGTTGAACTTTGAACTGTGGCGACTAGGAAGTAAAATAGAAGGTTGGAATGGATGAAGTGTAAACTTGTGTAATACACAGTCCAGTTGTAAGAGTGGGAAATGGGGCAATTGGGTGATTTATTGTAGCAGATTTTTCTTCTCTTGAATTAGTCTTCTCCCTTTCTTCTCCTTTTTTTCTTCCGTTCTTTCTTTCTTGCCTGTCTTCCACTTAATTCCTTCTTAGCCAACTTTTAAAGCTAGCATTAAATGTGCTGCTCTTAATTCTCTCGGAGTCCCCAAATTTATAATAATCTTTTCTTTCTCTGAAGTCGTATTATACTTGCAGGGGAGTACTACCCAATGGAGGGCTCACTGCTCTTTAACAGTCAAGCCTCTGTTGTTTTAGTTAATCTGACTTTCTTAGCCAAGACTTTAACTACCTAACCTCTGTCACTCTATGTAATACCAATTTTTTTCCTACATCATACTTATACTATGTTGAAAATCTGATTCATTATTTATTATCTGTCTCCATACTCTAAAATGTTTCATGACAGCAAGGACTTTGCCTGACTTGTTAGCTACTGTTTTTCCTGGTGCCTAGAATACAGTGGAACTCAGTGAACACTTACTGAATGGCTTGCTGGATCCTGTGTACTTAAGAAAGTCTATGAAATATATTAGACACATAGGACTGAATGATGCTGATCCTTGTAAAGTGTTAATGGAAGTTGTGGGCATCCTCGGTGACAGAACCCTAATAATGGCAGTATGACCTAAGAATAAATGCAGGATATGTTTGTGGTAGGTGGCAGACCAGGAGAAGAATTCCAAGTCTTAGTTGGCCAACACTTAATGCTTGTGTTTCAATGCATGTAAACACAGATTCGGTTATTGTATCTGCCTCTCAAATTGGAGGATGACAGTGATTCTAGTAGAAATTCATGAGAATTTGGCCTCAGTGTTGGTAAAGGAAAACAAAATAGATTTCTCAAAACATCAAGTAATTGGGCTTATATTAATATTTTATAATGAATTTTATGAAATGTTTATTTTGTTGAGTATCCCACATATTTTTCCAAAGCTCTTGACAAATACAGAAGTTGGAATTTAACAGTTTGCCCAAGGACAGCTAACTACATTTGTGTTTTCTTTTTGATGATGATGATGATCATGATCATGAAGAATTAGAATTCTATCATATGCTAGTCTACATTTACTCCCTACCTGGCAGTAGTGCTGTCTCTTTTTTCCTTGGTCTTTCATTATTTTTCTCAAAGTAAAGGGCATGCATCAGTTTCCTTATTTCATCCTCTACTGATGAAAGTTCTGGCCAGAAGAACCATATATTTTTGAAATTGTGGGCCAAAATAAATTGTAGACATAAAAATCCCATTTTTAGCTTCTTTCTCTTGGCCTGCCTGAATACTGTTTTTTATTTGTTTTACATTTTGCTAATGGCTAGTCGAAGTTAATAAAAGGACTTCGGCAAATTTAGCTGTGTTCCATTTCTTTAAATGTCCCTATTTAAAGGAGCCATGGGCAATTATGAGTGATGCTCTCTCTAAAAGAATCATTTTTTCTGGATGTGGTATAGTCATATTATATCTCACTGCATTAGCAGTTTGCCACACAAGAAAGAAAATTTCATTGTTTATTTAGAAAATGTTTTCTAATATCAGTGACTGTCACATTCACATTAAATTCATCTTCTTAATTTCAGTGTGTTTTGAACTATATTGGCATGAGTGAGAGAAGAACATTTCTATATGTGTGTGCCTATGTATGTAATAATAATTTTTAATAATCTAATGCATAAAGGAAATTATATACCAGTTTTCTAAGAGAAGTTAGAACACTAATTTGCTTACATAATGGAAGAAGTTTTCAGTTTAACTCTTAAAATTGTATTTTGTTTGCTTTTAGAACCTTAAAGTTTAAAATAAATGAGGGATAATAATAACAAGTATTTTTGTGTGCTACTAAATGCCCACTTTTCTGAGAACTTTGCATGTGTTAACTCATTGAGTCCTCTCAGTAGCCCTGTCAGTTGGTGATATTATTATTCCCATTTTACAGATGAGGAAACTGAAGCACAGCGACATGAAGGCACTTGCCCACAGGCACACTACCACCAAGTATAGGAGCTAGAAATTGATCCCAAGTTGTCCAATTTAACTGTTGTGCTGAATGCTTGTACTGTTGATTTCAGTATCATTGCAATTACTCAGCTGCCAACTACTGAACTATAATTTTAAATCATATTGTATGATCTGCATATTATATATTATTATGGTAAGTTGGAAGAAAAAATTTTTAAATATGTTAAAGAGAAATATTAAATACATAAATATTTTCTAATGATTTCCCAAAGTTAATTGGCAATTGAATTTAAGATTTTGTTGCTATGCAGTATAGACTGACTTTAAGAATGGTAAACTATTAGAAGTAATTTTAGAATTTTGGAAATGTAATAATGGTGGCTATTAGACTAAAGCATTGGATTTACAGAGTTCTCACCCCCCAAAGCATTACTTTGTAAATTTCAGAATACCTTAACTATAGTATACAGATTTGTTATCAGTGCAAAAGAACAATATGAGACAGTTTCGAAGTTACACGAAAACATGGAAAAGTTATACCAGAGTATAATGGAATACTATGCCATTGATGTGAAGAAGGTGTCCGTGGAAGACTTTCTTACTGACCTGAATAACTTCAGAACCACATTCATGGTATGGTAAAAAAAAATTGTTTTTTAAAAAGTTTTTTTTATTTATACTGTGCTATTTATTATCTCATTACGTCGTTCTACTCTTGTTGCTGTAGGAAAACCTATCTTTTCTGATTTTCAAAGTCAACTATAAAATTTCAGATTTAAAAATCTATTGAAAAATGTACGGTTTGTTCTCCTTTTGACCTTTCCAACATTAAGCTGTAATCAGACATTTTGATTGAAAAAGTGACAAATTCTCAAGTTCTTCATAAAGACTCCCTTGCTGACTGATTACAGAGCAATTCTGTAATAAGTTTTTGGCTATGAATTTGTTTCTTTATACTTAAGATCAATTTGTATTTTTGTGATATAATTTTACCAAATTCCATGCAGCTTTTATAAGGCTTTTTTTCCTTTTCTTAATGCATTGTACAATAAGCTACACGCAATTTGCCTTTGAATAGGTTTTACATTCATAGGGCTTCCTTTCGATACTTTAATAGGGAGGTCAGGCCTTTGATGTGGAATCCTTTCATTTAGGCATTAAAAATATCTTTTCAAAAATATTAGCTGATTAGATGGGGGGAAGAAAAGAACTACACATATATTAAAGTGAGGAGGCATTTTTGCCTCCCTAGGGAAACTGGTGATATATTTCTACAGTGAAAAATGGTTATTCTTAATAGATGGGTAAGTCATTTCTGTATTTTAGCAATTGTTTGTGGCGATTAAAAAGTTTTGAGGTGTGAAGCAAAAGAAGGTTGAATTTAAAGAACTGGTTCTTTTTAATCTCAGGAAAACTTTATTGCTGAGGTTGTTGGACTTGGTTATAATTATTTAGTTAGGATTAGATAACCTTTTAATAAAAATAGTATGTTAAAGGAAAACTAGTTTACAAGAAATACACATTTGGTCACAGTTCTAATTTATTTTCTCCACAAATTCAAAGCAATCTGTAAATTAGTTTTCACTGTCAGAAATGAATTTGGTTAATAAATATATTTATGATATACCTGTATGTGTCACATACTTTGCAATATATTATTTTACATTTTGCAATGTTTTGTGAAGCAATATGGCTTAGTGGGACTAGTAAAGACTTTGCTGTCTAAGAGAGCTAGATTTGAATTTTATATGAGTTATGTGTCTATGAAGACTTATTTAACCTTGACCTTCAGTGTCCCCATTTGTTTTAAAAAAGTAATGTGAATTCCTTCCCCATGAAAATGTTTTAAGTATTAAATGATATAATATATAGTTAATGTTTATCATAGGTCCTGGCACATGGTAGTTGCTCAATAAATTATGCAGTAAACGGTTAATTCAGTAGGCTTGGAGTGCTCAAAACCTTTATATTCCAGAGAACACTGGCCCCTGACTGACTACTAAGAGACCTAGAAATATCCTGCCTGATAAGGGCATTTTATATAGCTGGGATCTTGGGCCAACCTATGTAGATATGCTAACAATGTGATTTATGGTGAACACCTGTTTTGTTTACCTGGGACCCTGGGCCACACTGTCTCCATTTGAACTCTTACTGAGCTGGAGATAGAATAACTAAGATTAGTCTTCCAGGCAGTCTATGCTTAAGTGACTGACTCTCAATAATAAAATCCTTGACACCAAGACTCACGGAAGCTTCCCAGGTTTGCAATACTTTGTACATATTGTCACATATTGTTTTGGGGAAGATGAAGCATTGTCTGTTGGACTCCACTGAGAGAGGGCAATGGGAAACTTGGACCTGGTTTCTCCTGAAGTCTGCCCTTTGCACATTTTTTCTTTTAATAGTGTTTGTAATAAACCATCACAGTTAATATAATGGCTTTTCTGAGTTCTATGAGCCTTTCCAGCAAATTATCAAACATGAGGGTGTCTTGGGGACCTCTGACACAATTGTGCATCAAGTATAAAATGGATATATGAAGTAATAATATACTTCTATTCTGAGTATTTTCTGTAAGCCAGGTGTTCTTCTAAATGCCTTACATATAGTATGTCAGACAAGCCACACAGTTCTTCTATGGCAGATAAAGGAGCTGAGGCACAGAGATGGAACATATCCAGCTCAGTGTTATACTGCTATAAAATGGTCGAACTAGAATTTAAACCCATAAAATCTTCTTTAAAGCCTTCTTTAAGGGCCCTAACTCTTAAACATTATGTCACGCTGCCTCTTGTATTCTACAGTTTATGTTCCATTTCACAAATTATAACACTGACGTTTGGAGGGTTTCCTAATGAGATCAATGCCATATTGATTGTAAGGGATCCAGTTGGGATTTGAATCCAGATCCCAACTATGTAAAGTATACATATTTTAGATCGATTATTTACAAACCGAATTATTGTTCCAAAAAAATGACCACTTTTTCTTTTTTTCTATTGGGAGAGGGGTTAGGTTTCAAGCTAGTCCAGTTTGACACAGCAATAGCAGTCATGCATTTAATAGATGTTCATAGATCTAAAAGGATTAGAGGGTTTTGGCATTCTATGGGTTACTTGGCATTTCATGTGGGCAAGTAGTGGGCAGAGAGAGAAAGTGTTTGAATGAGAAAAGGGTTCCAAAAAGTGGGTAACAGAGTGACAGCTATACTTTGTTTCAGAGTTCTTATGGGTCCTAGAAGTCACTACTACCACACACACATTCATGTGTACACTGCACTAAATTAAAATTGTTAACACTAGATTTAATAAAAAATTATTAAATCTAAACAATAGTATATAGAAGAAATTTTATTTAGGAGATAAATAAGCATGAAGGCTGGAAGGGAAGTGATTGTAACAAGGTGGTGAGATTTTCTACAGGTACTTCATTCTCTTCTATTTTTCTTTCTTTTTTTGGGATAAATATGATTATACTGCTTAAATTTTAAACAAAATATATCTCTTTGAAGTCTGGAGTGGTAATATTGGCAAAAACTCCTGACAAATAAATGTCTCATTTTGTCAGAGTCTTCTGAGCTCTTGGGTTGCTCTTTAATTCCGTATTATTCAACTTTGAAAACCAGGTTAATATGAGTGAGTCAGTATGGAAATATTAGATCTGTAGCTAAAGAAAGATGTAGAGTTTTATTTGTTGAAGATCTTGTTCTGGAACTCCACAATCATAGGCAAAAATTTTATTCTTAAAAAGTACTGTTAAAATGTTTCCATTGTTTATCCTCTGGCATTTAGTTATACTTCTGGTCATGAATGAGCAAGTTTTATTATAAGGTGAAGGCTTATTTTTGTATTACATATCAGGGGTTGGAACCACTGTCTTCACTTCATACCTACTCCCCACATTGGCAGTTTTCCATGGAATGTTTTCTCTCAAGTTCAGGCCACTGTACTTAAGTGTTTCCTACGCCTGGAGCACTTTTTCCATACTCTGCCTGGCTAAATTATCATACCCATCCCTCTAATCTCTGTTCAGACATTTCTTCCTTTAATAAGATCTGTGTCTGTCATATTTATCTTTGTATCTCTAGTGCAATTCATGGCATATAATAGATAAATTTGTTGAGTAACAGATGATCAATGGGTGATTTAATAGCTAACATATATAGAGCTAACCATGCATCTGAAGCTATATTTACTCATTTAATCCTTATGGTAGCAAACAGATGTAGCATGTGTACTGTTATTATTCCCATTTTTCAGATGAGGAAACAGGTATAGAGAGATCCTGACTTGTCCATCATTACATAGCTGGCAAGGAGCTAAGATGCTTCCCCAGGCTGTCTGACTCCAGCGTCTATACTATATATGACTGACCTGTGTTAACATCTATAAAATGCATAACTGCTATTGCTGTGTCAAACAGAACTAACTTGAAACCTAACCCCTCTCCCAATAGAAAAAAAAAAAGAAAAAGTGGCCATTTTTTGGAACAATCATTTGGTTTGTGAATAATTGATCTAAAATATGTATAATTTAAGATTGTCTTGGGATTTAAACTTAAGCAGTTAAAGGCTGGGTTTAAAAGCTTTCTGCTATACATTTGACTAACTCATACAGTCTCTCCTCAGTGTTTCTGGGATCTTATGACTAATTTGTATAGATACAGCCCTTCGGGTTCATTTTTTTTGTTTGCTCTATGAGAGCCTTGTTACAATAGCTAAAGAAGGAACATCTGTTCCAGACTGCTGCCTCAAGTCATGTAGACCAAGGGGGAAAAGTTTCAAAATCTTGTAGCTTCTCTGAGGAACAGCTGTTTACTTTGACAGCAGTTTCAGTCACTCCTCTTCTACTTAAGAATTCTCAACTGGGAATTAATTTTTTTAAACAGTCTACTATAGATAATATGCTTATTGGGAATGGTTCTGTTTCGAACTACTGATCAATTTCCCAAGAAATAGGGAGTAAGTTTGCATTGTAATTTTGTTTAGCTTTGTGTTTGTTACCATGATCAACAGAACAAAACCAAAACAACTACCATGGTTTGAATAGTTGCTTCTTACTAGATCCAGTGTCCGGTGCTTTGCATGAAGCGTCTCACCTCATCTTTACAGTGTTTTTTGAGGTCCAGAATGTGACAGGTGAGAGAACTGCAGGGTGGAGAAGCTCCATGTCTTTGCAGAGAAGCTTCAGACTTGGTAGGGCTAAGACTGAATGAAAGCCTGCCTGACTCCAAGGCCTGTTCTTTAACAGCTTCAGGTACATTGCTGCTCAGAGAGTTTGCAAGAAAAGCCAAGGTTGTAATTTTTAAGAGTGTTTTTGATAACTTACTAGAGAGAATCAGCACAGGGGCATACTTTATTTTCATACTTCTTGGGCATAATAATTGTCTATTTACACTGATGGGTTCATGATAGAAGAATGTTTTCAGATCTGCTTCTATTTCAAAGCATGAAATGTGTTCTCTTAAAATTAGAGGACTATTAATGTAAAGCCAGGTTGCTGGGATGAAGGATAGGTGAAGGGTAGAGGGTCAGCATCTTTCCGTAATAGATTTTTATTTACTGTAAGACTTGAGTGAAGATAAAAGTTCAGATTGGAGGTACTAGGTGGAAATATCTGACCTCATACTAT